TTGATACTCAGCAATAATTTTTATATCTTTAATTATATCTTTACTTTGAATATTACCTTTAATAATAAAATCTTTTTCACGAATTGGAGTTATAGAAGCTACTAATATTTTCTCACATATATCATTAGTACATTTAACATTAAAATCATTTCTTTTTTCCATAAAAATTGTATTATCCAGAAAATGAACAGAACTATCAACATGAATAGGTTCTATAATGTTAGTAATTAGATCTAATAGAAATAAAAATAAAAGAATAACAAACCTAATGTAATATTTAAAATACTTGGAATAATGTAAAGATCTAAGAATGAATGAAATGGAACTAAACCATTAATTTTTAGTGTAATTTCAGCTTTGTTTGTTGGTTGAAAAGAATTTAAAGGAATTGATATTTGTTTTGTTGGACTAATAATAACTGAAATAAAAGTAAGAGTAACAGCAATACAAATAACAATAGCTATAATACATGAAATTACTTTTCTTTTTTCATATAAAATTGAATGTGAATTATGGTTATTCATCGTTCGATATTAATTAAACTATTTTCAGTTCATGTTAATAATTACTCTTTTGTTTTATTCGCTAATTCCTTCATTTTATTTGCATTTTTTCTTTTTTGGTTAATTTGTTTAATTAAAATATTAATTTCTTGAAGAATTTGAGTAAATCTTGTCATTTATTAATTATTCAAATTAAAAAAAAAGATAAATAAATTCTTTTAAACCAAACAATTTTTTTCTATATGTTTTTTTTAATGAATCTTAAAATTAATAAACTAAATATTCACTAAATTTTTTTATTTTCTTTTATCATAGATTAACTTAGAATTTAAATATTTTTTATTTCTTTTTTTTTTTAATGTTGATTTAATTGAAAAGATAAATATAATTCTTTATAAAAATTTTATAAATCTATTATAAAATGAATATCATTAACATTTACAAATCTTCAAATAATACATGAATTATGATATAAAATATTAGATAAATTAAATAATATTGTTATTTTAATAATATAAAACGATTAAAAAGAATTTTAAGTCTATGAGGAATTTAACAATATTCAAATGAAAACAATAAATTTAAAAATGTAAATAATAATTATGAAATTTAATCATACTATCAAATTTAATTCAAGCCTTTGTCAATACTTATCTATCAATACCCATATTTAACTTTTTAACTTAACAAAAAATATTTTATAGTCTTTTTTTAGATATTTATACATAATTTGAGTTATGAAGAAAATAATTTATAAAAATATATTTTTTACTTATGAATTAAAGTATTTTTTTTAAGTTTAGGATATATTATATAAAGAATGAATAAATGAAATTAATAACACTTTAAAAAATTACATTTTATTTAATTCTATTAATAGTTAATTTTACTAACCTATCTACAATAAAACAATGAGTGAATCTATTCTTTTTTTATTTGTTTGGTTAAAGTAAGTTTCTTATTTTACCTAACTACATTATTACATAATTTAAATAAAAATTTAGAAATTAAAATGAGTGTTATACTGAGATAAATAAACTAAAAAACAAATAACAATAAAATGTAAAAGAATAACTCAGTTAATGAATATATATAACAAAATGATGTTAATTATACTAATAAATTATACTTCTTTTATTTATGTTATAATATATTATTAAACAATTGAAATAATAGCTATAATAAATGAAAATAGATAAAAAAATTATAATAAATATATATTAAAATAAAAAAAAAATGATAAATATATTATTGTTTATTTTAAATAACTTCAAATGACTTATATTATAATTCAAACAAACAATTAATAATAGTAAAATGATAGTGACATAAAATATTATTCTTAAAATAATAAATTAATTGAAACATTTTAAATTTCTTTTATTTGTGATTAGAATAGGATATTTGTTATTTAAACAAAACAGATGTTTAATTTGTCTTGGGAGGGAAATATTTCTTAATTTATTTTCTATAAGCGTTAAGCTTCTTAAAGATTGAAGACTTGAAAGATTAATTAATTGAGATGGAGAATATAAACAATTAGTAAATGAAAGATACAAAAGATTTTTCGGTAATACAAATAATGTTTTCTGAATAATTCCATTAATATTTATTATTTTTAATGATTGTAATACTACAAGTGATGATAAATCAATTTTTTGTACTGAATTTGAAGTATTACAAATATTTCAAAATAA